GAATTTACAAAGAAAGAAGCTGATATAGCAGACTGAATGGTTTTCTTTCCAGCTACATGACAGTAGCCTGTAAATAATTAATATGGACTTGTCAATCCAGTGATTTGACATCATGCGCATTTAGTCAATAGAAAATTCACCACTAAATGTGTTTATAAAGTCAAAGCGATGCTGTACTTGAAGCTGTTCACTCACATAACCTTATGCTTGCACTAGAGAGTGTAGATGGGGTCGTGAAAGACCCTATGACATGTAAAATTCACAGTAAAGCAACGCTGTACTTTAAACTATGAAATCATCCTATCATTTCAGCTCAGGCTCGGTCCAGATCTGTACCCGTTTGTGTGCATTCTTAAACAGGTGTTAAGGTGGGACGAAAAATGCGTCATATATGTAAGTGTTAAGTTAGTCTGAATTAGAACAATTGTTAGTTTCAGTTTCCCATTATGACTATGCTGGATCCCACACGTTGGTGGCATGTGGCCTCACAACAAACATTAATAGAATGATTTGTAGAAACAGAAACCTTTGGTAAATGAAACTAACTCGCAGCTCACAACTCACCACTAGCTTTCTTGGGATGTAGTCACACAACTCACCACTAGCTTTCTTGGGATGTAGTCACACAACTCACCACTAGCTTTCTTGGGATGTAGTCACACAACTCACCACTAGCTTTCTTGGGATGTAGTCACACAATGAACCGGTGTAGCGGGACAGCGTGCTCCCCTGGTGAAAATATCCACCCACAACACCTTTAACAAGAGAGGCAGGATAGTTGTTTCTGTCCAGGATTACACATCCCCGCCAGCATTCATCCGAAATTCACGTCACGTTTTACGACCAACACATGTCTGCATTATAATATTAGTGATTCAAGATTTACGCCGCACTCAGCAATATTCCAGCTATATGGCGGCGGTCTGTAAATAATCGGGTCTGGACCAGACAATCAAGTGACCAACAACATGAGTATCATTCTACTCAATTGGGGACCGATGACATGTGTAAACCAAGTCAGCAAGCCTGACAACTCGATCCCGTTAGTCACCTCTTACGACATGCGTGGGATCAATTCTATGAAGCTTTTACAGCACCGGGTCCGGTTGATTCACGGATCTGTAAAATACTGTGAGACCAGCTCAGCTGTTGTGTTTCAGCTTCCCATTCAGACTAGACTCGTCCGTGGTCGTTGACGACTTTGGAGAAGATGATTTCAATGAATACTCAGAGCCACAAACGAATTTTGGCTTTCCTGTTGATTCGTCTCACTGTATGCTTCAGTAATCAACAGCATGAGCATCGATCTACGTAATCGAGATTTGACGACATGTGTCAACCCCATCAGCGAGCCTGATCCGCCAATCACAGATAGTATTCCCCTTGCGACAAGCATTGGTTTACAGATATCAGTCGTCGCCGTTAGACCAGAAACGTCCATGTAACGTAGGCGCGGCAACGTACAAAATCTGGACATATAGATGTAACCTTCACCTTCATGTAAATGTCAATGTACGAAGCATGGACGGAATAATGTAATGAACGTTACTCGGCGCCCCGGACGTTCGACCAACTGTCGCAAGCATTGCAAGAGGAATGGGCCAGAATCATTCTTTTCTGACAATTATTTTATTCAAATTCTTTAGCCACGGTTGTTTAGACACCATTTATTGGCCACGATCCCTTTGTCAATTCTACAGTACAATGCATCCATGGGATGCTTTAGTGACTTTGGATGTTGATAGGATTTGTATGACTGCTGTTAAAAAGACACGTGTGTAGGTAGAGCGACTTTGGTTTCGCTGACATGTACAATTTATCGATCTCTCTCGTGACTTCATGCCAGAGGGTTAAAACGCTGGTAAAGTTAAAACAATGCTGTCACTGCGCATTGTTTTACCTGTATGTGCCAGGGCCTGTCACAAGCACCAGCTGTTCATACAGTGTGTGAATTATGTATCAATGTGTCATGGTTTGATGTTAGTATAAACACAATATAATACAGTACGTTGTTACTATCAGTATGACATATCCCATTAAAAGCACTCTGGATATATTTTCCATTGATCCCAGAGCCCTTCCAAATATGTATATTATATAAAGAGATGATCATACCTTGTTATAGCCTCATAGTGTTCCCCTCTCTCACCTCCACGAATAATACAACATAAACAAAACAATCCACACCAGAAACCAAGATAAAAGAGAAAAATACACACACAAAACAAAAACAACAAGAAGCAAGCATACACAATACTCTAACCAACCAACCAACCCACTTGATAAAATAAATTGCACCCATCCGTCCATCCATCCATTCACACACACACACACACACACACACACACACACACACACACACACACACACACACACACACACACACACACACACACACACACACACACACACACACACACACACACACACACACACCGTCACAGGGTCACATACACACAGAGGCTAACACGCATGTACACAAACGTCCCTTGCGTGTTATAGGAACTATACATTCAATATTCTAGTGTGGTTACCATGCTGATATGGCATTTGTAATAATGGATATCAATATATGATCATAATACAAGGCCTTTGGTAGTAGGTTTCCCGACAGGATAAAGTCAAGGTTAATCAGTTACACCACTGTCTCAGGTTTCTGTTTGAACCATATTAAATGCTGTCACCATCAGGCTGATAAATAATCGACTCTCTGATCAAATATATTTCAATACACACTTAAACTGGAAATGGTTAGGGACCGTTTTGGATACACGAGAACAGGGTTTTCGACGACATGATATCAATAACAAATTAAAGTGATGCAGACATTGTGTATTTTTCCAATGGTAAATACCGCCAAGGTTCATAAAATACAATATGAATTCATATTAAATGATATTTACAATGCAAAACGTCACTCGCTTGATAACGTTATAACTCTTTTTCATTCATGCTACCATGAGTTTCACTTTTTTTATTACATGATATTTATATAGCGCACATATCCACGTGACTAGTACATGCTCAAGACGCTGGTCACAACTTACAGGGGCGGTGGGGTAGCCTAGTGGTTAAAGCGTTCGCTCGTCATGCCGAAGACCCGGGTTCGATTCCCCACATGGCTACAATGTGTGAAGCCCATGTCTGGTGTCGTCCGCTATGACTTTGGCTTTAATTCATAATTAGCGGATGTTAATTGAAAAAAGATTTGATTGCATATGAAATGAAATTGTATATGTGAACCGCAAGTGTTTGTGAAACCAACTGTATTTGACGAGTGTCAACTAAGAATACCAGAGGTTAACCTTGAGGCTGTGTTGGAGGACTCAACGACCAAAGAAGAAGTGCTTCACGGTGGAGTATCACCATGTATCCATTAGTCTCTTGTGACTCCTATTATTTAACAAAGGCACGATACAGTGAAACAGTGAATTGGAGGACAATGACCAAATGACCACCTCAGACCTCCCTGTATAGAATATGGCTCACCATACCATCTGCCAGTGAAGATCCGGGTCGTAAGGCACTAACGGTCTTCAGTAACTCGCTGCTTGTCGTCATCGGTTCCCAATTGAGGCGATGCTAACTGTTGATCCTTGATTGTCTGGTCCAAACTCGATTATTTACAGCTGACTGGGTTGCGGCGTAAAACTAAACTCACTCACTAACAATACCATCACCAACCGAATCTGACAACATAGCACATGCATGCTGTGTCCCATTGCGACGTTGGTGAAGAAATCAGTCAGGCAGACTCAGTTTCCATACGCGTAAGGTGTTGCTCCATCGCCTACGTATGCGTCAATGCAAACTTGGCAATGCAGGCAATACTGCCGATTTAGTGACTGTTGGGTGCGATACATCCTCAAATCAGGCAAACCTAAATAAAAATACTTTTGAATTTGGGTTAAATTGAGATGGGTGTACCGATCCAAGAAACGAGAAAGGGTGCTCCAGATTCGAGTCCCACCTTGGTGATGTCGCCATTGTCAGAATTCAATTTTGGCTTTGCCACTTTCAATATGTCGCCATGTTATGGCAAAATGTTGACTGACGTTTGACCTTCTATAACCATTGCGACTGCATGATGGTCACAACTTACAGGGGCGGTGGAGTAGCCTTGTGGTTAACGCGTTCGCTAGTCACGCCGAAGACCCGGGTTCGATTCCCCACATGGCTAAAATGTGTGAAGCCCATGTCTGGTGTCGTCCGCCGTGACATTGCTTGAATATTGCTAAAAACGGCGTAAAATTAAACTCGGCTTACAACTTGCATGACATTTTTGTTTTGCATTTATATAAAAACTGTTGCGTAAAGGTGCAAAACTTTAAAACGGATGTCCTTGTGCTCTAAGTCAGTTAATAAACAATCAAAAACAAATATTGTCATTGCATTGAATGTTCAATGAATAACTAAAATCGCCGTTCTCATTATCTCTTGTGTTTTGTATTTTATGAAGAATATACTTCCATGGCGCCCTTACAGTAACTTTTTATTCCATGATAATTGTTGATTACCGCCCATGTTCACAAGTGCAAGTATCCAGTTGACCCCCGTTAATTCGAGAGTATCGTCTCCACTGCGTAATGTCTCTCGGTGGAAATAAGGGTGCCAATAGAGAGAATCAACCATCAGGTGAGATTTCCAGAATAACAAGTGTCTAGATTAAAGAAACATTGAGTAACGTACACAAATATAGAATGGAGCCACATTTATCCCATGGTAGCGTCACCACTGAAATTGTCCACATTGTCAAACGTCAGTATCAAATAATCGTTGAGTATGTTTACTCTGCTTCCATATGTGTCCAGACAACAGGAATCGTCCGGTAACTGGGGTTTCTGGATCAGCAAGTTTCCGGATTCAAGACACGCTGGGTAATACCGGTATTTCCCGCATGCCCGGCCAACGGGAATCGTCCAGAAGGTAGGGTTTCCAGATTAACTGGACTCGTACTAGCAAGGTTGCACTGTACACTGATTAACTAACACGGGGTTCAGTTCCCAAACACAAACATCGACTTTCTTTAAACTTCCAAGGCCTCTCTTTCCGGTAGGGTTGTAGTAAGTGGTGTCTCTCCGTCTGAACGTTCTGACTTCGCACAGATCATCAGTAAACCGAGTATGGATGCCAGAAGAAAAGACGAGGCTGAAATAGAAACAAATCATTATGATGTAAATACGTAGCAGGATGGTAGGGGAGCCAATATGGATGGAGCGGCAAGATAGAATGTCCAGGTGGGCAGGAAGAGATTACCAAAGGTGAGCTAAGTTAGGTTAGTTTCACAGTCGATATAATAAACTTTGAGCTAGGCATCTTGCTGAAATCAAGAAATTACGAGGGCATCGATGTTGACGGAAAGTATTGATCATCTGAACGTTCCATACTCACATTTCGCAGTCGGTATTGAATCAGCTTTGATAACGTACGATCTTAGCCCGAAAGTCGTGACTGGTGTATTGTAAGTGGGAAGAGGAGTTGGCCAAAAACTCAAATTCAATATTTTGTCCTATCCAGAGAGGAATGTTGATCCGATGAATGTACAGAATGTAATATCAATAAGAAGTAGAAGTGTGGTGACAAGCTTGCCAAAGAGTCGAGATGGATGCAGTGATGATACAGAGAAGTCCATTACTTTCGATACATTGAAATTCTCACCTGAAAACATAAATGCAGTGTGGTAATCTCCCGTCGCCTCAAGCAGCATTCCTGAAACAGTGGGTGAGGTGTAAACCAACATCAGTTCTACCACTGCGTATCAACTCACTGTGAAAGAACAGTCTAAAGTTCTCTTATAATGGCCTGTTCCCCTTCGAAGCAACCTATGGTGATCGGACTGTCATGGATTTCAACCAAAGACAGAAGATCATCAAAGACTGCAAACATGAGCGGGTTATTCTGTAAAGATAGAATGATGGCAACATATCGGGATATGTTGCGAGAACAAAGGGTAAAATGATGCCTCTATTACTCTCTATACCTCATAAATTACTTTCATGAGTTCCCTGTCTTTCTTCAAACACATAAATATACCGCACAAAATAAGATAGGGATAGTTGTAGTTTTATGATTGATATTTTATCAGTGTGTCAATTGATAAACAGATCAATATTCATAATTTCAAAATTGACATATATCCCTAATTATTTTTGTCCAGTATATTTTTGCAGAAGACCCTCGATATCATGGCTCAGATGTCCTACAGTGCAACTCGAGCAGCACGATGTAAATGTGTTGGTATACATTAGCGAGGATAAAATTATAATTATGCACGTGTAACCAAAGATGATCAAATTCCAAGTTAATAATATCATTTAACTATGCTCTACAATAAATGAGCGTACACACTGATCCACATTCTGTACGTACCTGCTATGGGCCCTCCGATGAGGTACCCCATCCCGCACGTAAACATCACCCAACCCATGGCAGATGCTAGATGATGAACTTCCACAGTGGTATAAGTTATTGGATTAAAAAAGGGCCCACATGCCACCATTATATACTCCATAACACATGGAAAATATTATCCTCAACACAGACGTTCGAGTTAAGGGGTGTATGAAGTACACAAGGACACCAGTCAGGCCATTGGCCCCAGAGTACAGAAGCGAGGGTCCAATCTTGGGGTCTGTTGCAGCAAATCCGAGGCAGATCCTGGACACAATGCTGCCGACACCGATAACTGACACTAGCGACGACGCATGTTGGAAGGTCGCCCCTTGTTTCATTACAAAATCAGGGAAGTACAGCTTCAAGGTCGAACATCCAATTGTAAAAGTCATAACGCTTAACAGATACAAAGAAAAGGATGTCTTTATGAAGTGTGGTATTGTGCATGATTGGACTTGGTTGAAGCAGGATTGACATCTTGAGGTTAGGTTCTCTTGGTTGGCTTCTCCGTCTTCTTGATGCCTCTCATGTCTTCTACGCTCGTGTTGGGAAGGTCTCATGAGAAAACCACACACACAAGACTGAAATGCCATTCCTCCCAGGAGAAGGAAGGCCCCTTTGAGTCCATACCCATCCACCAGGTGCTGTGTCAGAGGGGGGAGAAGAAAGTTGCCAAGACCACAGCCAGCTATTCCTATCCCCGTGGCTAGGCTTGTCCGCTTCTGGAAGTAAAACCCGAGCAGCACGAGGCAGCCAGTGTAGCACAATCCTTGACCAAGTCCTAGAAATACGTTTGAAATAGTTAAAAGAGAACAACAACGTTATAGTTGACTGATCATGTGCAAATTGATCAAAAACACATGTTCCCCTTTCGCTGAGACTGCAATCTGTAAATTATGGCGGCTCAAGCAAATTATATTCATGTCACTGAAAGCTTAATTCAAATATTCAGTCGCATAACTTCCACAAACTATGTTTACGCTTGACACAAAAACAAAGAAGTCTTAATAAATGTAAAATAGTAAAAACGGTAAACCGAAAACATTAGAAACTAATTCCGACCCAACACCCCTGACCCATGTCCTGACTTACCCGCCATCAGGGCGTATGTGAAGAAGAGCCAGCGTATGTCATCAGCGAGGCTACTGGAAGCAAATCCAACGAGGCCAAGCACACCGCTTACTATGACACAACACCGACAGTTCCATCTGTTGATGATGAAGCTGGCTACGGGACCTGACACATAAAAGGAAACAAGAAACGTATTTTAATAATTTTCCCCTAGGGAAACAGCAGGTGCAATTGTGGACAGCAACAATAATGAAAATTGGTTCCATCTGACTCCAAAACGATCTGTGTGAAACGAACGTCTGTTACTAACAAAAGCACTAAGAGGCTTGTCTGTGAGTGAGCTGATTTATCACGGGATTCAAACGTATTCAGTTTACCACTAAACCTTTGGCATACTGTGAAGGAAACGATGGGGGAGATGCTGGACGAAGACGTTGACAACTGCTAAGCTACGACCATAGGTGTGGCACTGACTAACCAAGAATCACAATTAGAGCTCACAAAATAGTTTGGCCCGACCAGCCCATCCGTTGGGAGTCCTCCCATAAGAACTACATCCCATAGGAACTACAGCTTAAAACAACAAATGGTATGGTCCAGTACACAGATTAACTACCTGTTACCTGTTACATCAGTAAACCATCCGTTGCATCATACACATTTTCATCAGTTATAGAATATGCTTTCGGTTAGTATCCAACAGGAGACAAGTCTAAATCAAGTGACATCAGTTACTTCATACTCCAAAAGGGGTGTGTGTTGTGGGTGGGTGGGGTTGGACTCTGTCCTGTTTAGTTCTGGAAACAAAGGCCTCAAAATGGCATTTCAACACTTATGTAGAGCTGAGCGCACATTTTAAAACATCAATATTAACTAATTCTAAAATTCTGTTTTGTTTCAATTTGTCGTGTACACTTCCCCTTTAAGTCAATACTTCTAACATGCTGTGAAATTACCTGAAAGGGCAAACATGCAGGAATACAGAGAGCCAATCCATGAAGTCAGTGTGACGTCATCTTGAAACGTCTCAAGAAGCGCTACGTGCATGACGCCAGCAATATAGGACTGACTCGTGTTGAGAAAAAGCGCACAAAGCGACGCCACTACCACGACCCATGCCCATGGTTCGAGATGGTCGGACATGCTGTTGGCCTATCTGGGTCTCTCAGTGCCACTGTAATGAGAGGTATACATATGAGACGTGAAACATCCTTAGTAGCTGCCCACAGGTCTGAGACACTTTCCATAATGAACTAATGGGGGTTTCTGTCCACCCCACTGCCCCTTCGTGTCGTCTTCATGTAAGGATGACGTCATAATTTACCTTTTGGTATATGACATCATACGCTATAATTAGACCCGATGACAAGCTATATTTCAGCCTTCTGCATTACCCAGAGTGTCAGAAGGGCTGTACTCCCAGTGGAGAACCCGGGCACTCTCATAAACTGCGTCAAGAGATCAAGAGGTACCAAACCAAGGGCACCGAGAACAATGGGAGCCTGGCGACAATGTACTTGGGATGCAAGCGAGACATTTCAAAGGCGAGGTCCGCATATTTATCATGCTTTTCCTGAATCTTGCCAATCACATTGGTGTCAAAAGGGACAGAAAATTCAATGATATAAATATACTGAGTCAAAAAAGAAACATGCAATTTTAGACCCTTGCAATTGCTTCTTACAGCTGACGTTTCACTGTCTATAACGATACGTTCGAGGGTTTGTAATGCTACACAGAAATATGGATTCTGTTGATAGATACGATAGTTACATTTTCTGGAAACAGTGTCGAAAACTCACTCATGATAAAACTGCACAAGTCACCAAAAAGTAGAACCGGTGCCTATTGTTTAAAGGTCGGGTAACACCATGTCCAGTGTTTAAACGAGTCAAAAAAGAAACTTCACAAAATGTAATTTTTAAAAATAAAGAAATTTTGTTCTCTGATGATTCATCTATCTATCCGAAATGGGATCCCTATCTTTCGACTCTAAAAAAACGTTAGCAAAACCCACTCCAACCCATCCATTCGTCGTGCAAATGACGTTAGTGCCAAATCAGGTTTTGCACGTGCAGTCGATCACGTGATCTTCGCATCGAAGCTTTCTTCATATGCATGTGTTTGTATTGGCCTCAAGAATTGACAAAACACTTTTATACCACAGTTCTAACGATACTTTAAATGCCACGATTGTCAAATGTGCAACGGGAACATGCCGTTGCCATGTTGCAAGCTGGAAGATCAGTTATTGACGTCGCAAGACCAATGGGATGCAGCCGTCGTACTGTGTATGACTTGGGAGGTCGTCTACAACAAACTGGCACCACTTCTGATCGCCCAAGGTCGGGTCGTCCACGTGTGACGTCACGAGCAGAAGACCGTCAAATCGTTCTACGTCACCTATGTGACAGATTTCTGCCGGCTACACGAACCAGGGCTGAGATGTTTAGAGATCGACTGTCCTCACAGACCATTCGAAATCGGTTGCGGGCTGCCAATCTCCATTCCCGACGTCCAAATCGTGGGCCAATATTGACGGTTTCATGGACCCAGAGAGACAGGAATCGAGTCGTCTTAAGCGATGAATCCAGGTTTACCCTCAGATTCGGGGACAGCAGGCATAGAGTCTGGAGACGACGTCGTGAAATGTTGTGTACAGGAAGTCGACAGATTCGGGGGCGGAAGTTGCATGGTGTGGGGTGCTTTCTGTGGGAACAGCTGTTCCCGACTTCTGGTCATCCGTGGAAACCTCATAGCTGCTGCTTACCGCGACCAGGTGCTCACCCCTGAACTCGTTCCTTTCATGGCGGCTCATGGCCCAGGTCTACAGTTCAAGCATGATAATGCTCGACCGCAAACCGCGATGTTGACACGAAATTTCCTTCAAAACGCTGGAATCAACGTCATGGACCGGCCATCTAAGTCCCCTGACCTTTATCCAATAGAGCACGTTTGGGATGCACTTGGGAGAAGGCTTCGTGGTCTTAGGAACCAACCTCATAATTCTTCTGACTTGACATTCTGTATACCCATGTTTTGGAACGGCGGTGTAGCCTAATGGAACTGATTATGGCACTGTCAGTGTATCGAGTACATCACACAGATCTCAGCAATGAAATAATAGCAATTTAACCATCTTACCATCTGTTGTTCTTTTATAGTGCCCTGAAGAAAGAATGTGAAGTTTCTTTTTTGACTCAGTATACATTCATTGGCGTAATGATATAATTGATAAGGTTTCTAAATATATAACCACAAGAAGATAGTGTTTCCAAAGCAAATCTTCGATCTAGTATTTCCTAAGAATATGAGAAGAGATAAACAGAGGGGTTTGTCACTGTTTCTCGGAGAGTACAACGGGAAAGTCTGCCTCCCTACAGAATTACAATATTACAATGGTAAAGACATTCAACTATCGTTTAACCTGTGAGGGTCCTCCTGATGTTGTTAGATGAAATGTTTAACGTCTTGTACAGACTGACTTACATAGAAACGTACATACAAGTGTAACTGTGATTCTTTGTAACGTATAGCTAGGTCGAGTTCACTCCCCCTTACTGTGCTAGCACACTGATTCCGTAAAACTGTTACGGAGCGGTTGGCTAGCCTAGTGGTTAACGCGTTCGCTCGTCACGCCAAAGACCCAGGTTCGATTCCCCACGTGGGTACAATGTATGAAGCCCATTTCTGGTGTCCCCCGTCGTGATATTGCTGGAATATTGCTAAAAGCGCGGTAAAACCAAAGTCACTCACTCCGTACAACAGCTTAACCAAGCATGGTCACAGTAAGAATCGTTAGGTGACGTCTTGGCTTGTACCGAACCACTTACATTCTCTCCAGACACTAACCTTTTCACAAGCTAGACAGGTCTATCGATTTACCTCAGTTTGTCAATTTCGTTTAAAAGTAAAAACATAATTATCTTTTTGTTCTGATAAACTATATTAAGCAAATAAAAAAAACATATAGAAACTTAGATTATCCTGTGTTAGTGTTATAATCGTAATAAAAGAGAAGCAGAATTATATTCGCTGACTTACCACAAAGGTGATCCAAGGTATGTACTGAACTGCTGACTTCCAAAGTGTCCTATATATCTCTATCTGAAATATTCACTCCATGTACACATGGGTCCACGCGCCTGACGCCGTTGTCTATTGAAACAGCTGTTAAACATGTGGATTAGACAGCAGGCTAACGAACTGATATTGGCATGAACACAGAGTATTCCGTGATATGAGATATTTCACTGCTGATATTTATATTTTCAATACAAGAGAAATAATGAATAGGCATGGTTGAATAAATTCACATTCAATTCCATCTGCTCACTGGATAAGATTAATGGTGCATGTGGCTATAGTCGTGCTTGATTAATCTATTGCTATGCGTGAGGAATATGGTATAGAGGTTTTATTCACGTATTTCTAGGCCACATGCCCACAGTACAAAACATTTCAATAGTATGATAACAGAAGAAGTGATTCATACAATTTCACAGCAAAATATATATATTTAGACAAATTCACAGACGTAAGTTTGTGATTTGAAGACATAATTAAGTCGAACAAATGTTTCAAATGCGGCGTTACTACTGCATTTTTAATCAATATCTTGCTTTCTTAAGTCGGAGAAGGCACAGTTGACAGGCATAAAATTGTACTCGACAAGCTGTTATATCGAAGGCAGTATCTGTATAAGCGTTCTCGATGCCTATGCCCAATTTCATCACTGGATTGGCTGGTCCAGACTTATTTACAGACCGCCGCCATAGAGCTGGAATATTGCTGAGTGTGGCGTAAAAGTAAACTAAACTGAACTCACTCACTTACTCATTATACCCAATCGTCTCCCCATTTTGATCATTAGCTGGTGGCAGCCACATCTGAATCTGGTTAACGCTTGCTTCAATGGAGGAGAGATGATTTGTGTGAGATAGGATTCCGCATGCAGAACTGTTTTGTAAGTTGAATAAGCTGCAAACGTTTAGTTAGATGATATGCTATGATTACCCGATCTAAATTCCTCTCAAATGTAACACGACTTTATGTACTATAGGCCTGTGGCCTTCTCAGTGCAAATAAAGATCATCCCATGACAACACGTTAACCACTTGCTCTCAGAAAATCCAGATTTGAGCTAAAAATGTCCAACAACAAAAGAAACAACAGAGCAAAACAAGATATAGGTACACCCGGTAAGCCGTCGAATACATCTGTAGAGGATGGGGTTCAGACTAGAACCCACACGAACGTCGAGAAAATATCTAGCTCATCTAGCTTGACGACCACGCCGGCCGCCATTGATCTCGACAAGGGGCAGACCGGGAGGACTTAAAATGCTTTATTGCTGAAGCTCTACAAGTACAAACTAAGGAATTAGTGAGTAAAATGGACTTGATGAATACTGAGATAAAGGATTTACACACTAAAACTTCCGACATTCTTGCCACGGTTCAATACAATGCTGAACAGATTGAGACGAACATTTTGGAAATAAATACGTTGAAAAACGAGATGTCGGCAATGAAAATGGAATATGACAAAAAGATTCTCACTCTTGAACTTTACTCCAGGAAAAACAACTTGCTAATTTATGGCATACCCGATGAGAAAGACCCGGAAACCGCGATAAAAGAAATCTTCAGTTTACTGGGAATACAGCGGGTCGAGGCGATGGTGTTCGATAATGTGCATAGACTACCCAGAAAAAGCACGGATCCCCAAAACTTTAGGGCTTCAATGCCGAAGCCAATCGTGGTGAAGTTCGTCAGGGCAATAGACAGACAGAATGTCTACAGCGCTGCTGGGAAGAACTGGGGTATTCTTAAGGAGAAGAAGGTGACAATCCGAACTGATCTCCCTGTCTTCCTCAAAAAACACCGTGGCCGTCTCGCAAATAAAGCCTTTGAACTGAGAAAAACCCATAAAGTTCAGACGCGGATTCTCGAAAAGGGAATCGACATCTCCCTGCAGGTCAGGAAGAACCCACAGGAGAACTGGAGAACAATTGGACTTGATGAAGCTTTCTAATCATCTAATCACCGTGTTCTATATTCACTGAAGTGTAAACATGTGTATCACTTGTACGTGTGTATATGACTTAATCTGCCATAAATACATCAAAGAACATTTTTGAAGTTGGACATGATTATTATACAACTCATATGTGCCTATAAATTTGACGATCAGGCAACGAGAACTATTCTTTGAGCCATTCATACTGAAATGTTCTGTCCTCGCTTTGCATCCAATGTTTGTAAACAAGTACACGTGGTGTTCTATTTATAGCCGTTTCATTCACCCCGGGACTACCGGATGTTTTCACGGATGTGTGTCTGTCACTCTGTGTGCACAGTTGGGGTTCGTATGTGTTTTATGTCAGATAACAATCTTTCTACGCTTATTATAGACTCGGAACATGCTGGATAAAAAGTCTTCATTTAATAATATTGGATGCAGGTCCCACCTTCGAGGTGATTTTATTATGTCAGGCAAGGACGATGGTGGCACATTTGGGCTTTCTTTCATGTGGCTGGATCTCGAAGACCAAGAGCATGGTTCGCTCGTTGTTTCTGTTTTAGTTACCTTCTGTTTCCTTTTATTTATTCTCTTCATTTATCTAGAAAAAATGGTTCCCATGATATCACAATACCAGTGTTTGCATTACATGCTTTCTCACAGTCACAGTCATTTTTTGAGCACTTCTACCTCCATTCAGTTTACAAAGATGCCACAATATCTAGACAGATTGTATGTATATGGATATTTCTGAGAACTCCTAAAACTATTGATTACAATGGATAATGTTAAGAAAATTAAAGTTATCTCAGCTAATTGTAGAGGACTTGCTAATAAGTCTAAAAGAAAAGAATTAATGAACATACATAGGAAAAAATTACACTCAATTATATGTTTACAAGACATTCATATTGATGAATCTACTTGCAATATCATGAGAAATGAATGGGGTTTACAATCCATAATTGCACCTTTTAAATCTAATTCCAGAGGAGTGGCCATTCTTTTTAACAACGATATTGATCTCAAAATACACAGGACCTTAATAGATGAAAATGGCAATTATATAATCGCTGACATAACCGAAGAGGATAAAAGACTGACACTGACTAATCTCTATGGTCCTAATAATGATGACCATCAATTTTACATTAATCTATTTGAAAATATTCTGAATTTTGAGAATGATTCTATGGTAATTGTTGGAGACTGGAATTTGGTGATTGATCCTACAATTGATCTTGAGAATTATAAGCATGTAAACAACCCAAAATCAAGAAATACTGTATTAGAATTTATCGAATCTTATAATCTGATTGATGTCTGGAGGAGTTTGAATGATAAATGTAGAAAATACACCTGGTGGAAAAAAAATCCAAGACAACAAGCCAGACTTGATTTCTTTATTGTATCAGAAGATATATTTGATATAACTTTGGATTCAGATATTTTGCCAGGCTATAAAAGTGACCACTCAACAATAACGTTAACTTTTTTCAAACGCTTTAAGCCAGGAACGAGGACATGGGTACTGGAAGTTTAATAATTCCTTGTTGTTAAATCCTGATTATGGAAACTTAGTCAGAACTATTTTAAATGACACTGTTCAGGAATACTCAACAGATAAAATGGATAACTTTAAAAACACTGAAAATATTAAACTTACAATTTCCAACTCCTTATTTCTAGAAACATTATTAATGAAAATCCGAGGAAAGACCATATTTCATCCTACATAAAGAAAACAAAGGTAAAACATACAGAAGAACTAGAATTAAAAATAAAACAGGTCGAAGATACTATTCGAAAAAAAATCCAAAACATTAATGCAGAACTTTTGAATGAACTAAAAAAATATAAGAAAGAAATGGAAGAAATTAAAAGTGAGGAAATGAAAGGAATACAAATCCGAAACCGAAATTTCTCAAAAAAATCAATTAATAAGATAATAACTAATGATAAGAACGAAATCACTGACAGCAAATCAATACTGAATGAAGTAAAACTATTTTATAAAATTATCTATGCTTCTCAGGAACAATATAAGGAAGAAGACTGCTTAAAGGATATTTAAACTCCAACTTTAAACAAAACACTAAGAGATTATCTTGAAAGAGAAATCAGTTTGGATGAAATTAGCAATGCTGTTTACAGGATGAAGAATAATAAAAGCCCAGGGATTGATGGATTTCCTATTGATTTCTTTAAAAAAAATTGGAAAGAATTAAAAATTTGGATCTATAGATTTATAAAAGAAGTATCTACAAAAAATGAAATGTCTTTGAATATGAAAAGGGGTGTTATCACCTGTATTCCAAAACCCCAAAAAGATAGAACATTACTTAAAAATTGGAGGCCAATCACTTTACTTAATGCTATTTATAAAATTATCAGCTCCTGCATTGCACATAGATTAAAAACTACTTTTAGATGAACTTATTCACTCTAACCAAACTGGTTTTATACCGGGTAGGACTATTAGTGAAAACACAAGATTGTTATATGATATAATGTTTGAAACAAAGAAACAAAACATTCCTGGTTTGCTGATTCTGATTGACTTTGAAAAAGCGTTTGACACTGTTTCAAAAGATTTTATCAACCTGGTTTTACATAAACTTGAATTTGGCCCTGAAATGATAAGATGGATAAATATATTAACCTATGAAACAACATCTTGTGTTATCCAACATGGTAATCTATCCGAGTTCTTTGCAAATGAAAGGGGATGTAGACAGGGAGACCCACTATCCCCATATCTTTTCCTTTTTGTGGCTGAGATTCTCGGTTGCATGATAAGAAATAATGAAAACATCAAAGGTATTGTCATCAATGATAATGAATATAAACTGGATCAATATGCCGATGATACTGAACTATTTCTTGATGGAACTGAAGAGAGTTTGTACTCTGCTATTGACACAATTAATAAGTTTTACAAAATGTCAGGCTTGAAAATTAATTTAGACAAATCAAAAGCAATCTGGATTGGATCCAAAGCTAAATCTATGGATAAAATATGTAATGATCTGAAAATTGAATGGGTAATTGGTGAATATGATGTGCTAGGTATTAAATTTACACCAGATCTTAAAGACTTATGGGTAATCAACACAAGAAAGAGACTGGGGAATTAATAGACTCTTAGCATCTTGGAGAAAAGAAATTTAACACTTA